GCTAAATCTAGTAGAATAACTTTTAAAACTGTTTCGAAGAGATCGGATAAACCATTGCAGTTGATTTATTTAGACGTTTTGTGGTCCACCCCCAGTTCCATCTAAGGGTGGGAGTAAATATTTCCTCGCTACTGTGGATGACTATAATGGATTAGTAACAGTGGTATTGTATGAAAAATAAAAATGAATCGTTCTACAAACTTTAAGAATTATCATAGGCAAATGAAAAGACTGACGAATAGAAAATTAATAAATATACACACCGATAACAGTGGGGAATTCTGTAACAGGCAATTCGAAGAGTACTTAGCCGAAAATGGAATTAATGTTGAACGCAACAAATGCATACACCCCAGAAGAGAACGGTGTGTGTGTGTGAATGTTTTAAGCGAACGGCATTAGACACAGTTAAAGCAATGCTTCAATGATGGTAAAATGGGAAAAGAATGGTGGGCAGAAGCTCTTGGCTGTTTCGTACACACGTGGAACAGAGTATGTCATAAAAGCAACCAAACCCCTTATGAAATGTTCCTAAATAGAAAACCCAGTGTTGTTTATTTTAAAATATTTGGTTATAAAGTCTATGTTGGCGTGCCAAGACAGATTAAAAATAAATTACAAATGAGGTGTAAAGAAGGAATCATGGTAGGATATGCGAAGGAAACTAGGGGTTATAGGACATGGCTACCGGAAGAACACAGATTAATAGAAACCTGTAATCTGAAGTTCGATGAAAAACTGAATGCAGCAAATGGCATCCCGGACCAGAAATCAAAAACTAAGTTTAAAAGACTAGAGTAATTTGAGCTATTAGCAGAATCAGATGAAGAACAGGAAACTTCTAGAGAAGAAATAAAGTTGTCAGATGACAAATCTACTCCGATAGAAGTATCAGACTTAAACTGGCAAAGAAAAGCAATTAAAAGGCCAGACGGAACACGTACAGACATATATTATCATGTAGAGCAAAAAGACACCCGTTTTAGATCCTATAATGATATTGAAAAGTATTGTGATGCAAGAAATATTAAATTTGAAATATATAAGTTTGATTTTAATGGAAAAACGAATACTCGGGGAAAGTTAATTTTGTAGAACAGGAGACTAGCTCCGTGTCAGAAGAGGCAAATTCCATAGAAATTGTTATCCCACAAAATTTTAAAGAAGCACAAAAATCAGTAAATGCTGAGGAATGGGATAAGGCAATGAAAGAAGAAATTCACACAATGAAAATTAGAAAAGTTTGGGAATTAGTTGAAAAGCCAGAAAATAAAACTATGCTAGGAAACAAATGGGTCTATATGCTAAAAAGAAATGAAAAGAATGAAGTGGTTAGATACAAAGCACATTTAGTAGCACAATGATTCAGGCAGAAAAGAGGTGAAGATTTTGATGATGTTTACAGTCTTGTAGTAAATTTTTCACTCATAAGGATATTTTTCACTTACTGGTATGTTATATGGATGGACTAATGTCAGTTAGATGTAAAGAATGCATATTTATATGCAAACCTAAATGAAAAAATATATATGACCCGACCAGAGGGATTTATTGAAGAGGAAAATAAAGTGTGTTTATTACACAAGGCCATTTATGGTCTACATCAAAGCGGCCGTGAATGGTTTTGTGAATTTGAAAATATTTTAAAAAATCTACATTTTAAGAAAATACAATGGTGTAATTGTGTTTATAAGAGTTCAAATGTAATTCTCTTGTTATATGTAGATGATATTGTGATTTTTTAGTAAAGATCAATATAGTATAGATAAAGTAATTTCACAGCTGACTAAGATTTTTTATCTTAAAGTATTAGGCAAAACTAAAATGTTACTTGGAATTGAATTCTTAGAGAATGAGAATGGGGGTTTTTATACATTAGCAAATATATCGAAGAAATTTTTGAAAAATTTAAACATTTCCAGATACCAATAACTTCACTTCCCATAGCTAAAGGCACTATTCTTACAAAATTAGATTGTCCATCTGCAAGCGCAGAAATTGTGGAAATGCATACATTACCCTATAGAAATCTGTTGTGATGTTTAGTTTTTGTAGCTAACAGGACAAGGCCTGATATTACATATGCAGTGAATATCTTATCACAATTTCAGGAGAATCCTGGAATTAGGCATTGGGAAGTACTGTTAAAATTGCTTGGTTATCTCAATAGTACTAAATTATATAAGTTAAACTTATCAAAGATTAAACATCTAAATTTATATTGTTATTCAGATGCTGATTATGCAAGTAATAGGGATGACCAAGTGTCCATGGGAGGATTTATATTATATTTAGATGAAGTACCAGTAAGCTGGAAAACTGTTAAACAAAAATGTGTAAGTTTATCAACCATGGAAGTGTGCTGCCTTATCAGAGGCAGCGAAGGAATTAATGTGGACAAAAAATATCTTATAAGATGAAATTTTTAAGTTTAATTTAAGAGAATGTAAACTATTTTGTGATAACAAGTCTACCATTGATTTTCTAGATCGCCAATAGAAAATCACCGAACTACGCTCATAGACATAAAATATCACTTTATTAGAAGACTGGTAAATAATGGAGTGTTTGACCTTGAATTTATCACCAGTAAATTAAGCACCACGTACTTATTTACAAAAGCGGCAACTGCTGTTAATTTAAGGAAGTTTTGTTTAGATGTTTTCAGTTTTTAAACACAATAAGTGTTTTCGTATAATAGAATTGAACTATGAACTTCTGTAAATTCTGTGTAAGTTTTATTTTGTCTTTACATAAGGAAAAGAGGGCCGTTTGTCGGCTTTAGTTTTTCCTTATGCAAACTTTGATCGGATGTGAATCGGCAGTAAGCTAACGTGGTTGCCGTTGATTGGCAGATGATGTCAAGATCGGCGAGTTGACTGAATATTATATGTACGCCTGTATCGGAGAATGTCTTGTTATTATGAGTTAGCATAATGCAAGTATTCTTTCACTCAAATTATTTTAAATGTAAAGGCTACAGTGTTAGCTTATTTTATTTTAATTTACGGAATAAAGCATGAATTTTATTTAGAATAGTCTTAGTTTTATTTAAGGGAAGCAAAATATGCTTTGCCTTTATCCCCACTGCCAACACATAATACCTTTATGCATGTGCATATGCGTTTATGCATGCACATAAAACGTTTATGCATGTGTATTTAATGTATAACGGATGGGATAAGCTAGGCTAAAATTATCTAATTTATCTATTTCAGTTAATGTTGCAGATTGCGTTGTTCCTTAATTTTCTAATTGGATCCAGCTTATTTTTTGCAGACTCTTAGAGCAATTTTATATAAAGTAAGCTTGAACTTTCGATTATGCCAAAAAGAGTTTCCGATTCTGGAGCTGCCAAAGGATCTACAAAGTGAAAGCATGTTTCAATGTCCATCAAACAAAAAGTGGAATTGCTGCAAAAAATGGATAAAGCCATGAAGAAAGTGACAGAGAGGTTAGTGAAAACGAAAAAATTTCGATTGACAAGTTAGTCGGTATTCTCGGCACAGCAATTACAGGACTTGAACAGTGGAACTTTGTAACTGAACAAGAAATTACGTCTATTTGTAGAATTAAAGAGAAAGTATTAGCACATAAAACAAAGCAACTTAAACAACTTACATTAAAAGAAATGTTTAATAAAGTAAACAAATAAATATTAAGCTTTTTTTTTGTAAGTTTTGATACCCTTTAGATCATAATTGCTCTTTATTTCATAAATTACGGTTTCATATTTTTAATTTTATAATTTCTGCATGCCATCTTACCAGATTTAAATTGATGATCTATAATCCAGAATCGCCGAAGTCCCGACGAGTCTGGATTAAAGACTTTGTACTGTATAAGCTAATATATGGCAAGTAAAAAAAAAAAAAAAAAAAAAAAAAAAATCTGATGACCACATTAAGCTGGTTATGATGCTCATAATGTTAAAACCATTTTATAAAATGCTAGTTTAAGTCATATGATTTATAATAATAGCATTTTTCTATTCATTGTTTTTATTCAGCAAAGAAATATTATTTCATCCAAGTTTAGTGTCAATACTTTACTAGATTAATTTACCAATTAGTAGCTTAATTTATTTTAATTCTTAACATGAATATCTCTGCGATGGATAAAATGTCTTACGTATCTTATTTTTGTACATGCCTTTTTTCATAAATTAGATATATTTTTTCTTACTTTAAATAAGTACCAAACTTCATTAGTTTTCTAAAATTCAGATCATAAACTATGGATGGAATATTCAAATCCTGAAGTAGCAAAAATTCTGAAAAATTTAAAACGTACTTTCTTTATCATTCAAATCTTTACTTTAAAAAAAAAAAAATAAATAAAAATAAATAAATAAATAAATAAATAAAATAAAATAAAATAAATTAACTATTTAATTTAGAACTTTGTAAAAACAGTTTTATTGAACAAAAGAAGGCATTTAGCGATCTGGATCACCAGCGCACCTTATAGAGAACAAATTCTTATTTTTCTAGAGAGACAACAATCTTCCATGTTTAATGTTTATTTATGTTAATTCTTGAAATACTCCTTCTTTTGATTTAAAATGTTACTAGAAAAATGTAAAAAATTTGAATTATTACTAACATACTTTTTGTTAAATTACATTCAAGGAATGAACTTTGATATTCAAAAGTTTAACTATACACTTCATTTATTAAATTTCAGTTACATCTTCTTAATAAACATATTTGTACTTTTAAAAACAGTATTCTTAAATTTGTTTCTAATTTAATGCAGATTTCAAGGTTTGCTTTCATACAAAAAAAAAAAAAAAAAAAAAAAAAAAAAAAAAAAACTTTTAAATATTAAATAAAAGTTTTTCTTTACGAAAATCTAAGAGGTTCAGGATTTAAAAGATTTTTTTTAATTGGATTATAAAAAATATTTTAAAATCTGTACATTCAGTTGTAATTAATATCATGAAAGGAGAAACATTTAGTTAAAGTATTTTATTCAACAAGAATCATAAATATACTCACTGATATCTAGCTTTTTCATCAGGCATTCCTATAGCTAGTTCTCGATCAAAACGACCTCCTCTTCTAAGAGCAGGATCAATTGAATCTGGTCTATTTGTAGCACCAATGACCATCACATGAGAAGTAATGTCTTTCTCATTCAGTTCTAATAATTCAGAATAAGTACTATTATTAATATGCAAGTCACAATAGAAATAAAGATTAATAGTATTCACCTAATTTTGATACTATTAGAACAAGTGTGGTAGTTAATAGGCTTTACCAATTCTTAATTTCTTCAAATCTTTTACAAATTTGTAAAAATGAAACAAATCATACTAAAAAAGTTCAATGAAAATTTGGCCAAAAATTGCAAATTAATTTTTTGCCTTAACTAGCTAAATTTTACATCAATTTTTAACAGCAAACGTATTTCTCTCATATGCTGTTGTGGCAGCTCATCAAATTTGTTAGCTGCACTGGCTGGTATGGCAGTTAGAAGGGGCCAATAGCTAGAACAGCTAGCCTGAAACTCTTTATAAAATTTATCTGTATATACATTATCTCCCCCCCCCTTGTTGACATAATCATGGGCACTGCCAGTACAGCAACCTGAATAATGTTCGATGATGAAACATTAAATGACCAATGTGTTCTGCCATAACAAATGATAAAAACTTAACCATAAGTGTTTGGCCATTAAGAGACATTACACTGGTTATACAAAGATTCTGTTTATTACTGTTTTATTTCAGCCTCCAAAATTTCTATCTTATACATCTTGCATTCAAATTAAAATAGTCGGCAATGTACTACCAAGTAAGACCGAGTGACTGGAAGTTGGCTTTGCCTCTCACAGATGGATTCTAATAAATTAAAACAATTTTCCCATATCTTCTTGCGGTTTAATGGCTAACAGATTTAGCTGGTTATTTAATTCTTTCAGTGAATAAGCCAAGCTCAGTTCATCAAAGCTGTTTTGGCTCTTCATGCCACAAATGAATTAGGCTTGTTTTGTGCTTAATTGGGAACAAACAAGCCTATGTCATTGTTAATTTAATTTTTATGGAGAACAATGAAACAGACTCGTGCTTTCTTAAATACTCCCAGCTTTAATTGTGGAAAACCGAGCTGATTTCCCATTTTAAAATCGCAGGCAGACCTTTAATGATTCTTGTAATGAAAATTAACCCAACTAATAATCTATTTTAGAAGTTTGGTTTGGTTTATGATGGCATTCAAGCATTTTTTTCGTCAATTTTTTTATTGTTCTAATAATTCTGATGATGATATGATTATTTATTCTCAACATGATTCAGGACCCGACTAATAATCTGAAGATATTATGATACTGATAAATTACATTATACAGAATTATTAAAATTATTTTATATATTTGATTATATTATACAAAGTTATGATTCTTCAGATGAAGGTACTAACGATTTTTCATATGCTGCTAGACAAAGGTGCTAATTTTTTTCTCAATTCCAACAGGATGACATCTCTTGAAAGACTATTTCTATTTACAAAGTACATACAGTGTCGAGTACATATTACAAAGTATATGAGCATCAAGTATATATTGTCAACAGTACACTGTAATAAATGTGATGCTGCGATATGCATAATTCCTTGCTTTAAAATTAACTATATGACAAATTAATTTTAAACTGTTATTATAATAATTTAAAAGGCTAATATATAATTTGTGTAATTATTTAATATTTAAAGAATACTATGCTTTCAAGTTTATGTAAACTATATGTTAAATATATTAAATAATTATTAAAAGTATTAAGTCCCAGTTATCTGGACGTCCATTATCCGGAATGATCTATAATCTAGACCTCAAAGCCACAAACTTAATGTGTGTTTAATGTGTGCGTAAAGCATTTACCCCTGTGTGCTTCCGATAGAAAGTAACAGAGAGGTTATTGGAAACAAAAAAATTTCGATTGACAAGTTAGTCGGTATTCTCGACACAGCAATTACAGGACTTGAAGAGTGGAACTTTGTAACTGAACAAGAAATTATGTCTGTTTATAGAATTAAAGAGAAAGTATTAGCACAAAAAACGAATCAACTTAAACAACATACATTGAAAGAAATGTTTAATAAGGTAAACAAATAAATATTAAGCTTTTTTCTTTTTGGAAATTTTGGTACCCTTTAGATCATAATTGCTCTTTATTTCATAAATTATGGTTTCATATTTTTAATTGTATAATCTATAATCCGATTGATGATCTATAATCCGGAAAAACCCCTAATCCGGAATCACCGAAGTCCTAATGAGTCCGGATTATGGACTTTGTACTGTATACAGTCAAAAGTCGTTAATTCGGACACCCATAATCCGGAATGATCTATAATCCGGACCTCAAAGCTAAAAACTTTCTGCGCATGCGCTGCATTGACACATGCGCATAGGCGTTTACGTGTGCGCATAAGACCTTTACGCGCACGCGCATATGTGTGTGCACAAGTGCAGAATACATTTTCGCGTGCGCATTTAATGTATAACGGACGGTGCAAGCTAAAATTATATAATTATTTATTTCAGTTAATGTTGATGATTGCGTTGTTCCTTAATCTTCGAATTGAATGCGGCTTATTATTTTTTGCAGACTGTAAGAGCAATTTTATAAAAGTAAACTTGAACTTTCGATTATGTCAATTTCCGATTCTGGAGCTCCCAAAGGATCTACAAAACGAAAGTATGTCTCGATGTCCGTCAAAAAAAAAGTGGAATTGCTGCAAAAAATGGATAAAGACATGAAGAAGGTGACAGAGAGGTTAGTGAAAACGAAAAAATTTCAATTGACAAGTTAGTCGGTATTCTTGGCACAGCAATTACGGGACTTGTAACTGAACAAGAAATCATGTCTGTTTATAGAATTAAAGAGAAAGTATTATCACATAAAACGAAACAACTTACATTGAAAGAAATGTTTAATAAAGTAAACAAATAAATATTAAGCTTCTTTTTTTGTAAATTTTGATACCCTTTAGATCATAATTGTTCTTTATTTCATAAATTACGGTTTAATATTTTGAATTTTAGAATTTGTGCATGCCATCTTACGAGATTTAAACTGATGATCTATAATTCAGAAAAATCGATAATCCGGAATCGCCGAAGTCCCGACGAGTCCGGATTAACAACTTTTGACTGTAGTATTAACTACAATCAAGAAATTAAATTTTTATTGAATGTGATATAAAATAATGCAATGTGAAGTGGTAACAGGATGAAGTTACAATTAAAGAAGAAAGAAATCTCCTTATTTAAAATTCTCAAATAATGCATTAAAAAAATTTGTTTCACAGAGTGAAGATCACATCAGATAATTTGCCTTGTAATGAAGCAGTACACACATGTGAGTCCTTGAGAAAGTGAGCTATGAGCAATCACTTGAAGGGTTAATAATCCCATTCCTAGTAAAGGCATTGTTTATTTCCAAGGCTTCCTCACTCTCAAATGCCTCTCTTCTACACTAAATAATTTATTTTTTTAACTTTTTCAGCTATTTATAAGATCTTAAGTCTTAAAATTTTTCCTCATTTCTGTGATTTCTTTAATCAAAAGAAATTAACCTATCATAGTACAGACAAATACTAGTCACAATTGAGTAGTTGTCAGTTGAAAATGCAATGTGGTAAATGGCATGGCCTCAGAAAAAAACATTCTCAGATAATGTAACTATCACATTAATGCTCAGAAAATTTGCAATTAATAAACCCATACATATACATAACATTATAGTCAAAAGTAATAGACATTTAATTTAGAGCTGCAATATTTTTTAAATTGGTGAAGAAAAAATTAAGAAGTTGTAATTTGAAGTATTAAACATGAGGCTGAAATATACACAATAATAAAAACTATCAAAGAACAGTAGCTCGTTTCTAAATAAGCATTCGGGGGGAGGGATTAAATATATTTTTTACATTACTTAAACTATTTAAGTAAAAGATTATTTACCTTCTCCAAAATTCTAAACAAATATGCCTAATCACTTATACCAGTGGAAAAATAACTTTAATATTCTCCATACAGCAAAACATGTCCTTTCATTTTAACAAAATAACTAATCAGCCAATATTGTCTAAGATAATGGCAAAGCATGTGAGGGCTGTCTGGCTTACGGGATGGATATCTTTATAGAGGAATTTTTAAGGGAAACTAGCATATTCCATTATATGGGAAACAACCCTCCCTCCCCCCCAAAAAAAAATTTCATTCATCCATTCTATTTGTCAAGTTTTAAGTTCAGTACAGAACTATCAGCATTCAGATATTTACCACTTGGCTACCAGTGGACTCTCGAATACTGTTCAGCTATGGATAATGAGATTCTTATAGACAGACAGACAGAAAGAAGTACAGGAGGCACCAAAACATCGCCATGGGCAAAACTGGTATCGCCCCACTGCACTAACCATCTAAAGAAGTGTACCCTGACCGGGCACGCTAACACCATGCTCGGGAATTAGTTTACATTGCAGCAAGCAGCATTCATAATACACTGTTATATATTAATGGTGCATAATTTGCATTGCAGACAATATTGTCTCAGATATACTTTAGTATCTATATACTACATGGGTAACTTTGCTTGGATGGATAGATACATAATTAAAATGGATAATTACTAAATTATTTAAGATGTATATCATATTTCTTTTGTGTTTCGGTTTTGGACTTGTTGTGGGGGGGGGCAGTGTTTAGTATGTGTTTCGTTGATTGTTTGGTTTTTTTGTTACACAATTCACAGTTTATAGTTTATCATTCATAGTGAGTTCATATACAGCATACATGAATTCATTCATGGTACATAGTGTGAGTACGTAGTACTGGGCATCTGTCACACTTGCACATGACGTTCATAGTTGTGGTATGAGAAAGTTACGGTGTCTCAAAATGGATATATTTAAAGTGTGTTTTCTAAAGGCACTCTGTATAGTTGAGTGAGAGTGGATATTCTTATTGTTGCGTCTTATGAACTTAGAGGATTATTTGGGTTGTAAGCTGGATGCACATTCATCCTTGGCGGTGTAAGAAATCAATAATTTTTTATTTTTGGAAAACTTTATGGTGCTTAATAATGAATCTTCTAAATTCTATTCCAGTGTCGGGGGAGGCGAATGTAGGGCTGACGT